AAATAGATTTAATTTATCAATGGGCGAGGGTGGCATTCGGCGTTATATGCCAAACTCGCACAGTATTTATTCAGAGAGATGCATGAAAGGATGAAACAAAGTTTTAAAAATACAAAAAAGTGCAAGAAGAAAGATTTACTAAAAGTTTGCAAAATCAGGTGTTACACCTGATGAATTTAACCATTATTATCACAATCTACGTATCCAATAATGTTAAAGACCCAGTACCTGAATTTTCGATTAAAGATAATGACACATACATTAAATTATGATTTGTATGTAGAGCTAAGTGTCGTTTTTTTCTCTTTTTTTACCAATTATTAGATTCTTAGTTTATACTTTGTGAACAATGTTTTCAATACCTTCTTCATTGAAGCTATTAAACAGTTTGAAGCTTCTACTGATTTTTATTCAATTTTAAACTTTTGAAAAGTGTTTTATTGAAACTCTAGTCATCTTGATTTTGCAACCCAACGGCTACTTATATTTTGTGTTTTATTTATTAGAGGTCCCTACTAACTAATTTTATATAGATGGCCTAAAAAAAGGTCATCGGCCAAAAATATTGCAGCCTGTGTAACGTAACACTCATACAAATGTGGCCCGAAGGAAAAAAAGGTTGAGTATGGCTGAGCTAGATGGTACTAATCGAATGTCAAACTTCACAGTCAGCAGAGTGGCTCAGGTTGAAAATTTGATAGTTGAGCAACCGGAATAAGGTACTTGAGCTGGAAGTATGTACGGGAAACGACATTCCGAAAGTACATACTGCCACATTCTTTCTCCCTAGAAGCCAAGGGCAGATTGAAGAGAAGCTTCTGCAGTTGATGGAAGCATATAATGTGGGACTATTGACCACGCTCTGAAATATCGTCAGTAGGAGAGATGAGGGCAAAGGCCAAATCCTCAGGTTAGGAATAGATGACCTATCTTGCCAAAGATAATGGATATGGTATTTACCAATTATCGTACATGGTCTTCAAAAGAAGGATGAAGCAGAAGAACCGGAAGGACATACACAAACAACTCCCTGTGCATCCAACGATGAGGACACAGAGCATTGTTACCCAGACTCATCCGAGGATCTAGTAATCGAAGAAGAAACAGAAGAGGGGGACATGGAACATACCCTCATCAGTGGGGACGACACCTTAATCGATGAGAAATAAAATAGCGGGGATTAACGTCGCCCAAATGAAAGTTATGACGCAAAAGGAAGCATCGGTTGTAATCTCCAGGACATTAACTAAAGACCAATTAGGGATCGTACTGATCCAGGAAACGTGTGCCTACGGAAACCAGGTAAGAACACCTTGAATGTAAAGATCCAAGGATAATTTATTACTCTAGTGATGAAGGACCCAGAAGATGCATTATTATGGTAAGAAATAATATTATATATTTTTGTCTTTCAGAATTCGTGACGCGTGATCTTGTCCCAATTCGTGCATACCTTGGATTTGGGATGAGGTGGCAAGTCATAGTTATACCTTCTAGTTACTTCGCCGGAGATGGGCCTGTAGAATCCGATTACAATAAGAATAACACCGCTACATCATAACTTTTATTTCTAATTTCAAATATATAATATATATCATTTATAACTATCAGTACGTGGCGATAGCCAACGAATTACTTGATAACAGCTGTATTCTTCTTATTGTAATCGGACCCGGAAGTATCGAGGCTAGTGCAGTACTGCCAGAGATGACATCTGTCACTTCTTGGATGCGACGCCAACGCGCACAGTACCATATGGGGACGCAACGACACCAATAAAATACTTGAGCAACTTCTAGAATATATTTTTAATAAGAACCTTATTGTGCAAAATATTGTGCATGCTCCAACATTTGCAACAAGGGCAAGAAGTGAGATATTAAATATCACATTAACTACACCGATCATTAAAGATCTAGTTACAAATTGGAAAATATTGAGTGAACACCATCTCTGATCTGATCACGAGATAATTGGTTTTAAGTTAGGGAGTGATACGCTTGCGACGATACTCAGGAGGAATCTTAGAAAAAACAGATTGGAACAAATACACCATTCTTAAACAACATTTAACACGTATCCAGGCATCCACTTGCTTTGGAAAGCGATCTCGAAGAACGAAGTGACGCAATACTTGAGGTATATGAATCAAAATCTGCTCCATTCAAATACATAGAACTAGTCAAACTTACGATCCCAAGTGATATTAAGCTCTATAATAGGGCCAAGCACAGGTGAAATTGGCAGAGCTACACCGAGGTACTTACCACCTTTATTTTTGTTGTTGGGGGGAAACCCTTCATGGACACCTCTTGCTTACTTTCGATCGCAATAAGACTGTAGTGTCGGACTCCTACCGACTAAAACCCACCTTTTCTTCGGCCAACATTCCGGAACCGCTTTTTGCATGTCAGAATGCCTACTTTAGTTTCCTTTGTCTTCATACTATTTGGTATGGTGGTATCTACCAGAAAAAACATTTCTACACTTTCTATTATTTTTGAACCCATATTTTCTACATTAATTCCCCTCTCTATCATTTCTCTTCTTTGTAACTCGAATCTCTGTATCACATTATTCATCACTCCGCAGTAGATGCATAAGTAATCTTCCGTTTAGTAAAAGATTAAAAAGATCCGTGGCCGGTCAGAATTTGTGTTACGTAGTAACAGTCTAATGTGTTTTAATCCAAATGTCCATTTTTGATACCAATTTTTTTATACACTGTGCCACATCCTGTTTTGTCCCAAATCCGCTGCCATTCTTCTATCGTTGTCACCCTCTCTGATCTTCTCGCTGTTTCGTTTTCAGCGTCCCATCCATCATATAGCCTCTTAGGCACTTACCACCTATGACAAAGAAATCAGGAAAGCTAAACGTAACAGCTTTAGGAAATTCTGCGAGGAGATTTACTCTACACTTGCGGCAACGACTCTATACAAGGCAAAAGAGAGTTGATACAGCTATGGCGTTTAAGAAAGCAAATGGAAGCTTCACGGAGAGAGAGGAGTAAAGAGTTCGCCTCCTACTCAAAACTCACTTTCCTGGAAGCACATATTTTCTAATAAGGGATACAACTAAGGTAAGCAGACCCTCAAGAGAGGCAGCTGCAGCAGCAACCGATTAAAGTATCCCGTGAACACTTTTAAATCGTTTAAGTCTCCATGTATGAATGATATATACCAGAATCATGGAGAAGGGCCAGAGTCAGATATTTTCCAAAAGTAGGGAAAAAGGATACCACGCAACCTAAAAAAAAGAACACTTGCACACAGAGGAGTAGATAGCAACACATCCAGATGGATGGCTCAGCTGCTATCTATAAGAACTTCAGAGACACAGATAGGGCAGTACACCTTCTCCATCTGCACAAACAGAGGATGTCTAAAAGAAGGAGTTCTATTCCCACTAATATGGACCTTAATTTTATACGAACTTCTATGCAGATTGACTGACTTCGGCATAACGTCAAGGTTATGCCGACGACATATTGCTAGAGGTAATGTTTGGAAATATCCTGTGTGATATAATCCAAAGAAGACTAGAACACAGCAAAAGATGATGCCCCACGAAAACAACCTTACAAGAAAAATAAAACTCAATTGTAACAGTCAAATTAGACGAAATAGAGAATGGAAAATAGAAGTCAAATATCTAGCCTGGAGTAACAGAACAAGTTTAGCTACTATGAAAACTAATATCTCTAAAGTACACAGACTAGCCTGTGTTTGCATCACCGATGCAATGCAAACCTGTCCTACGACCGCAATGGAAGTGTTCTTAAACCTCATAAATGAAGAAATCAGACGAAAAGACCGAAAATACTTGGGATATGCAGCAGGATGAAATGAAAAAGGACAGTTTTGTGTAAAACTTCAAAATGACAGAGCTGGGCTGCAAGAAAGAATGGAACCAAGAACCCAGCGTGCTTTCAACCGAAAGACAGTATGGTTCCGAAGGAACTGGAATAGGAGTGTAAGGGCTTCGAACCAAGCATTCTGAGAAGTTGAGAAAATACCCAAACATCTTCTACGCTATTGAGAAGTGTATCCAGTTTAACATCGAGAAAAACTATCGTAGATAAGAGATTATCATCATGTCCGATAGCCAAGCAGCCATCAAAGCGCTGAACTCTTACGTAATCAGCTCAAAAATTGTCTAGATGCCTAGAAAAAATAAATAAGCTAGGCGAGAAAAATACAGTTACCCTCATTTGGGTCCCGGGACATAACGGGATAAAGGGTAACAAAATTGCAGATAGTCTCGCAAGGAAAGGGGCCCAAACACACTTTGTGGGGCCTATCCGTTTTGCGGTATCAACAGTAACACATTAGGACAGACTAAAAAAAAATTGAGCAGTAGAAGAACCGATAGTTGGAGCAATCTCTTGGGACTAAGACAGGCTAAGATACTTCTGGGTGAATATAACCAGAAGATATCGGAAGCCAGTATATGTCTGAGCAAGAACATTATAACAGGGATCCTTAGTAAACAAAGAGCAGTAGAAGAAGATATTGAGTGCAGTTTCTGTGAGGAGGAGGAGGACGTAACCTCCATTCACGTTCTGACTGAATGTGCAGCACTCCAGAATCCAATGGCACTATACCTAGGAGCATATCAAATAGAAAAGGCAGATTTACCTAACTTGAAGTCACTTCAAATCCTACACTTCCTTGTGAACATAGGACTGGAAGGGTCGTTATAGGCATAGAGACATTTTCTTGCTGCATTAGCGACAAAAGGGAGCCACTTCAAATCCTACACTTCCTTGAGAAGATAGGACTGGAAGGGTCGTTATAATAGGCATCGAGACATTTCCTTGCTGCATTAGCGACAAAAGGGAGCACAATAGATCTTTTAGGTCGCAGTGTAGTAGCACCCCATTCCCAACATAACCTCACTAATAAAAATAGTCGATTCTTTAGAATCCATTAGTTTTTAATATGATCAGAGTGTCAACACTTCACGTTTACTATATTTTGAAGAGAAATCAAACAGCTTTAACAACAAAAATAGAAATATTTTATTACAGATATGGGGTAACAATTCTAAGGTATCACATTTTCTTTCTAAATTACCTTACTACCTACATAAAATACCATACACTCACACTTAGCAACTAATATATATTTATATGTATACCATGACCATATTGCGGAATAATACTGATTAAAATTAATAAATTGGAATGTAATTGATAAAAAAAATAAATTTTCTAAAATAAAAATAATATAAGAAGATAAAATTAATGTAAAAATATAAATATACAAGTTCTAGATAATTTAAAATGTAAAAAATGTTTAAAGGAAATTACAAATTGATTGAGTTACTATTTAAAATTATTAAAATTGCAGTCTACAAAAAAATCAGATTAATTGGAATGTTTGTATTAAAGCTTTCAAAATTCCGGCACATGGCAATAAATTACTGGTAAATAAAATTAATTTGTCAAATATATATTTACAATAGAAGAACCAATGCATGCATTAGTTTGACTTTGAATATTACACAGGCCAATAAAAGTTGTTTTTTATTAAAAAACGTTTTCCATATAAACCATATGATATCATTTTTAAATAAGTAATATAAATCGATAATAATGAGTCTAAAATTGAATACTTCCATTTTTTATGAGTATTTTTTATATTTTCCACAACCACAAAAATAGGTTTATCTGTAAATATAATAAAATATCGAAAACGAATATCATTTTCTTATAATAAATCTGAGAATTAAATAAATTTCTCAAACTTTCGCATGCACTGACCTGAAACCTACATAATATTCTATTAAATAATTGTACTATGCCTGCTACTATGTTCAAGAGCAGCAAGAACATCTTGCTTTTGCCGAACATACAGTCTACCTTTTCTCCAAGGATTCTGAAGCAGTAAAGGTTTAAAATCGTCTCTAAGACACCTCTCCCTAGCACCTATAACCGCTACAAGACAAAAATTATTAAGTTTATCTGGATTGTACACTGGACCCTCTTTGCCTTTAAGAATGACAGCCATGTTCAGTTGTTTTATTACCAAATCTACAACTTCCCGCGCTGTAGTTCGAGGCGTTACATGTAATTTCAAACTAGTACCTAAAATAAAAAAATAAATAATACTTATTTGGTAAATAGTTATAATAAAAAAATGTTTTACTAAAAACAGTAAGTTTAAGAGCTAATGCAGTACTTATAAATGCAATCGAATTGTGTGAATTGAATTAAACGTAGTTCAGTGTAACTAACTTTTAAAAAATTTAACTACTCTTAATTCAAAGCATAAATCAGCTAATTTTTGACTGGTTTAGACTTTTGGTAAACATACACATTCGTGATTAAGCGCATCACTATAAAAGACATGCTCTGAGCTACTTGGACAAGAAAAGTCTGGCATCAGTATTGTGTTTTGTGTAATAGAATAATTGTTATAATATGAAGATCAGCTGTTTTTCAAATATATAATGTAAATTTATAGTGTAATACCATGAAGTGAGGAATAATGGTACAAAATTGGAATATGTGAAATTATTTGAAGGTGAAGATATGTACATTTTTATTTGATCAGTCATGATTTAATTACAATTGAATGGCTGTTCTCTTTCTGTCGAGGCTTACTAAAGAAAAACATTTATTTATAATTTTTTAAAGTATTCTCCTCCATAGGCAATGCATTTTTGCAGCCGCGAAAACCATTCTCAAAAACATCTCCGATCTTCTGACCGCCGCGCCGTTTGTTTATTTCATTTATTTCATTTAGTTGTAATCACCGGTGGATCCAAGGGAGGGGGGAGGGGGCAATGAGTTTAAAATTATTTGATTGGCTACTTTATATAGTTGAAAAATAAAATAATTTTGTTAAATAAAATTGTTTAGCTTGATTTAATTGTAATCCTTTATTGTAATTGTAATTTCATTTGGAATTTGTGAAAATTTTTAGTTTATAAACAACTCCGGATTTTTTACGTCATCACGATTTCAATATCACCCGGGTTTTCGCACACAAAGCCATCGCAACAAAATTTTCCACATTCCAAGTCAATTTATACTTAAAATACATTGGCTTATCTTCTTCGTTACAGATTTCTGGACGAATTTATGTCAAATTAGATTTCATCCATAAAGAAATAATATATTATACCTATCGCTTTATAGCCTTGTCGCCTGAAAGTACTTTGCGTCAAATCCGGTAGTTCTGATTTTTTGCAGACTTGTTTATGATATTGGCACAAGCGCTGAACGCAACTTTCGGATTGTTTTTACAGATTTTGGCGATTATAACCTTAAAGGACTAGTTTTTAATAGTACCTTTTCAGGACGTTTTTAAAGTAGACCAAATTTGCTACAATATGAAACTAGAATTGTCTCTTTAGACCCAATAGTTTTCGCAGTTTTTTCTATTTTTGACAAAGTTGCGTTCGGCGGTCGAGGTCAAAAACTTGGATTATTCATTGGGCCAACATCGTAAACAAGTCTGCAAAAAATCAGAACTACCGGATTTGACGCAAGCTCTGATGTACAAAGTTACTAGACTATTAAGGATTCATATTTCATATTTCATATGCATCTTGATTTTTATGGGTTGTTGCTTTAATAAATAATAATAGTAAAAAAAGGGTACATACCGCTTGCTAGACCAGTTTCATATGCTGCAAAAACTTGCAGAATCCCGGTTTCATTTCTTCCAAATGGATGGCGTAATCCTCTGGAAGTCCTAAATACCTTCTTGTGCTCTAATTCGTCGTTTACTTCACCATTGACATCTGGCTCTGTATTAATATTATTCAGACTTTTGGATAATATCGTTTCTGTATCTGGATGCACCGAATTAGAATGGCCAGATTTGAATTTGTTCAATTTTAAAGTCTGTTTAACATTCGTCATACTTTTAGAAGAAACCAGTTTTGATTTTTTTCTTTTTGTATGCGGTAGCAATGGCTGCAAATTACTGTCTTTGTCCATGCCCAGACTAGATGTGCTAGTTAGTATTTCGGGAACATCCAATTGATTAATGCTCATTAAACTATCTGACTGTTTAACCTTCAAAGTATTATTGGAGGAGATATTACAAATTGTGTTTGCTCTAACCCGTTGAGGATTGCAATTAATATTTATTTTTATTAACATATTTTCACTTTTTGATCCAGTGATAATATCTTTATTAATATTCCCCGATTCTATTTCATTATGAGAATCAATAACAAATTCTTTTGTTTTGAGATTTTGCTCACTTTTACTAAATTCGCATATATGATTATCTGTGGAAACTAAATTTCCAGGGCCAGGCCAAGATCCTCTTCCGAATGATTTGTTTAAATGTTTTTCCTCCGGTACAACTTGGAGTGTTTGTGGGGGCATACCAAAAGGTGGTGATACTCTTTGAAAAATAGATCTAACAACAAAAAAAAAAGATAACAAAATTTTTATAACAATATAATAACATACCTTATAGATATTCCAAGTGCTGCTCGATCTCTTGCAAAACATATTACGTTCATCAACCATCTAACACTTTTCCAAATAGTGTTCAATCGTTGTTCTAATTCTTGCAATTTAAATACCCTTTCTTTGGCTATCAATAATTCACTATTAGAGAAAGCTTCTCGGTGAAGATGATTGGCTGTTATTGAATCAATCTCCAATATGCAGCTTAATTTGGCATATTTTTTAGTAATACTTGTTTTATAAGTACTAAGATGAATCATTTCAAATACCTAGAAATTTAATAATTTAAATAAATTAGATGATGTGGAATTTGTATTGACAATTATTGCCAGCCGTGTGAACTTTTTAGGCTGGGTTTGTGAAACTTCGTTCAAAACACTTTATTCAAAAGAATTTTGAGCGAAGCATGTTTGTTTATAAACCATTAGTTTTCTTCAAAAAAACCTTGGTCCGAAAATACGTTTATTAGAAAAACCCTAGTTAGAAAATAGTTTTAAAAAAATTTTAATTTGACAATTGTTTTGTTCGACAAAATGTAGCTCAAAAATACTTCTGTTAAGTTTGTTTAATTTCTCATTTTATGTATAATTTTTTTGTTATGCAAGACTCCAGGCTACACAAGTTAGGTAGATTAGTTAAGTTTTTTTTAATTTTAATTAGAACACTAAGAAAATATTTGAATCGGTGAGTGAAAGAACAATACATATCCAAAATGACCATTTTGAGAAAAACAAAAAAAACTGTTTTAAAGAAAAACTATGGGTTATTCGGCCTAATTATGTATTGTGAAGTTATAGAATTTTTGTTAACCGATAATAATACGTACATAAATTTAAAAATAAAATTATGCAAAATATATTTGAAAAAAATGACTTGCAGTTATACTGTTCTTTCACTCAATTTAAAAATAAATGCTTTAATTTTTTTTTGTAGCTTTATTGATTATTATTTAACAAACTTATTTGTAATTTTTTAATCAGAATCTTCATTTTTGACTTTCCAAGAAATAATAAATGGTAGTAAAACTCTAGGATTTCATCACTAAAGTAAAATAAAAGTATCTTTATATTCGCTATCTTCTTCACGTTAATAGGGACAACTTCTGAGTATGCCTTTTCTAATGGCAAGCATACACGTAACGGTCTACCGGAGAGGCCTACCTGTGCAGGTATGCCTGCGCAGGTCGGCTTCATGTCGTAGCGTGCATGTCTACCTGTGCAGGCACACCTGCACAGACAGACCGTAGCGTGTATGCCCGTCATAAGGGTAACTGCAGATTGGCATTAGGTTTTATATCAGTCTAATGCGCCCCACACATAAAAGTGTGCGAGTATGTAAACTGGCTGTACTGTAGAATGACAAAATTAGATTTTTGTTCATCAGCTGATTTAGAGGTTTTTTTATGAAATTGCGACCACCATTTGAAATCTGTGTTAAATTTGTCTACGAAACGACATGGCTACTGAGTGAAAAAACAGTACATGCGCCGTACTTGTACTGTTCTTTCACTCAACCGAAAATTGAACAAGCCCCCATCGCTCGTATGATGTTGGTCTGTGTATTATTCTTTCGCTATGTGATAGGCCTATGGATTTTAAACAATTTGCCTATCTCAGTTAAAATTACCGTTTTTGGCACTTGTACTGTTCTTTCACTCACCGATTCATTTCTATTCTCTGTAATATATTTTATATTTAGATTCAAACATATTTTATTTATTTATTTACGAGTCAGAGCTTATTAAAACAATACAATTACAGAGAATACATATCACATTCATTAAATAGTAATAAACTCCTAAATAATAATAATAATAATAAATTAATTTAAATATATACATATTAAAAAACAATTAATTAAAAATCTAACAACTATTCCAAATACATAAATGGTTAAAGAATTTTGACGGAGAAGTAATTCATTCTACATTTAGTCTATTAGCAGATCTTGTCACTCTAGGAATAAAAGACTGATAACCATAATTTGTTCTATGAAAAGGTTGGGAGAATGTATTAATATTCCTAGTTACTCTAGAGCGAGAAGCGACGCGACGGAACCTTTTTGAAAAGCGAAATATTTGACGGAGCCCTAAACACATTTCTAAAAAAAGGTCCTCAAGTCAGGTCCTTCCCTTTTGTGGCGATAGTACTGCTTCTTTTTTAATTATGACTATTATTTTCTTCGCGGAGCCCCCACAAAAGCTTTGCGGAGACCCCACAAAAGCTTTGCGGAGCCCCAGGGCTCCACGGAGCACTTTGGAGTATCACTGCTCTAGAGGGTACAGAAAATGCAATTTGGGATAACAAGTAGGGACAATCGGCAGATGAGTTAATAATGTTAAACAATATTTTAAGATCATTTTGGTTTATTCTGCTCAGAAGGGTCTCAAGATGACAGTGTGTGTAATTCGTCATAATTGTACCTGAAGTTGACCGGGACGATACCCGATGTAAATGCAACAATGCGTAAAAATTTTCTTTGAACCTGTTCTCTATTATGGATTAGAGATACATAAAATGGATTCCATACAGCAGAAGCATATGCAATATAAGGTCTAACTAAGGCACAATAAAGAATCTTTAAACACATAAAATTATGAAAATCAGAAGTAGTTCTTCTAAGGAAACCCAACATTCTTAATGCTTTATTAACTGAGGCCGTTATATGAATTTGAAAAGAAAGGGCGGAATCTAGTATCACACTCAAATCTTTTACCTATGTAATAGTATCCAGTGTTATGTAATTGATTTTATAGATATATTCAATAGGACTATGTTTTCTGTTGAAATTGATTGTATAACATTTACTTGTATTTAATTCCATGCCATTAGTACTACACCAATCTCGCTTTTTTCCCTTTTTTGGATCAAGCATTATTCGAAATAATATTTCATATAATGTTTTTGATTAAAAGTATCTTCGAAACAAGTTTTTTGAACTAAACGTATTTTCAAACTAAGGTTTTATGAACAAACGTGCTTCTAACAAAATTTTCAAACAATGTGTTTTGAACAAAATTCCGCCAACGTTTAGGCTAGTTTTATTTGCAAAATTAAATGTAATTTGTATTTATGCCGAACAGTATAAAATATAATTTTTTCATAGTAAATGGATAATATTGGATATCTGACCAAAATTTTTAATTTTGGTCAACTTTTCTTAATAACAGATTTCGATATTGTTAAAAATATAGGTATTTGACTCTTGCATACAATTTATAATTTTATAACAGGAGACTGTATTTTCAGATTTAAAACATGCAGAACTTTTTATGAAGAATGACTTTATGAATAAAACTAATAATAAAAAAAGTTTCCCATATGGAACCGATTTAAGTAAATGCACTGTATATAACAAATAAAATTAAAAATAGTACTGAAGAAGACACCAGCATCGAAAGCATTACAAATCAAATATAACTGTTGTTTAATTAAATTATCTAAATCTCAAGAAAATTACAACTAAAATACTGAGTAAGGTGTAAGAACCATAAAAAATATATAGGTATTTTCTAGAAATTTGAACAAATCTGAACCTGGTGGGATTCAAACACGATACAAAGGTCTAGGCTACTAAGCCACCCACTCCCTTATGAAATTTTTATTGATCATCAAAAATAGCTAATTAGTTGTAACACAATTTTTAAAATTATAAATATCTAGTGGAGGTATTACATCAATTAACATTTATAATTAAATTGTGTCCATTGTGTCTCTCCTCCAGAGTCGTCGAATGAACTTATGTTAACATACAGTGCAGTTGTCTGGGTATCACAAACCCAATAATTGACAGCTATCTGCAAACTTGAACAAATTCAAAGAACATCATGTCTCAACATAACAGGAGCCTTGAAAAGTACACCAACCAGAGCCATGGAAGTCATTCTTAGTCTCACTCCCCTTGATATTTACATCAAGGATGTTGCTCCTATGACAATGACACGCCTCCGCGCGGTTAGAATAGAACCTGATATAATCTGGTGAGGCAACACTTCCCTTTTGGTAGGAAGCGCTGAATACGCTCCCACTGCTTTAAGCGAACATGGACACCATCTCATCTTGATACATCTTCCATAAGCCATACACAGTTATAACAGGACAAATAGAAGAGCTGGAAGTGGCAGGTATGATTCATATCTACACAGACAGTTCAAAAACAAAAAAGCTCAGGATGTGGAATATACTCGATCCTTAAATCCTTAAACATAAAATGGGCTGTGAGCAGTAGTGCCAGTGTAGTTCAAACCGAGCTCACGGCGTTCTCATAGCAACAAAAGAAATCACCAGAAATAATATAACTGGAAGGAACATGCTCATCGATACAGATAGGCAAGCACTACTCCCTGGACAGACCACAAATTTACTCAGGGTTAGTACTAAGTTTTGGCCGAATTATCCATCAACAATGTGGTCAACTGAAGATGGATCAAAGGTAACGCCACATCGAAAGGTTACCGTCTTGTTCTAGCCAAGAATGCAGCCAAGCAAATACTTTTTGGATCTGGCCCTTCTATTGAACTGACATTGGTAGTGACAAACCTAATTAAAGAACATTCCCTTGTAAAATTCAAGGAAAGATGGGATGAAACAAGAAGCTGCAGACTTGCCAGGGTGCATATGCTTGAAAACGAGAAAAAGTGAAACTCCTCGGGGAATATATTCACTTTATTTTCACTTTCCCAAAAAAATGGTATTCTCGAAAAAACGTGAAAGCCAAGGGAGGAGAAAGTGGATGGTGAAAATAAATACAGGGTTGCCAGATCGTTTTAGATCATCCGACCAATTAAAAAATACGAACCTTTGACAGCAAATGACACATAAGGTCTGTTCGGGTTCTTCAAAAATACACTGAGAACTATCAGAGTACTAGTTGACCAGTGGACAGTTTGCATCGAGTTTTATAGAAACCCGAACAAACCTACTATATGGATTTTGAGATTTTATGGTTACCTATAATAAAATTAACAACGAGTTATTCTCCTTTTCATGTATAATGATTATTGTTCATTAAGCATAATATAAATTCACTTTGTAAATGGTATTTTTTCATAATTCTCAAACTAGAAATTCGAATCTTTTGAAAATTCAAGTTTGAAACCCCTTCTAAATGGGCTTAGGCTTGAAACTATAACCACCTTCCTAAAAATTAAAATTATTTTAATAACATGAGTCCAAATAATTTTAAAAAATATATGTGAAGCAGTTACTATTTGAAAAGGAGTATTAAGGTGGACGGGGATAGTTTTCTGATACTACCTTTTATAATTAAAACAGTTGCTCGATGTTATTGTCATTTTGTCTAACACTTATCTGTAGTTATTTGTTAATAGTTAATTTTATCTTATTGTGTGTTCTTAATGTTTATAGTATTTTAAGTATAGGTACATTTTAATATCTTACAGATAACAGAATAAATAAATGTCATTGTTAATATTTTCACTTCCATATCCATTTTAAAAATAAGGTAAAAGCAAATATATAAAGATACTTCTAACAACATAAATGAGGTTATGGTTATATTTTATTTTATTAATTTAAATTCTGATATGCACCGCACAGATGCACTACGCATGCTTGTGAATTGAATTATCTCATTATTTTCATTTTCTCTATCTAAAAGTAGGAGAAAGTTTTGAGATAAAATTCTCCACCAATTTTGGTGAATTCGATTTCAAGAATACAAAATTTTACAAGAGAGTAAAGTGAAAATTCTTTCTCAATATTTATCTCTCCCCATTTTCAAGAATAGGCACCCAAGGAGGTTTTAAGTTATCCTGACAAAACTAAAGCAAACAAATACTTGGCTATGACTAGACAGAATCTGCGCCTGATCACAGGCATTCTGACTGGTCATTGCCAAGTATAGAAGCATCTCCATTCCATGAGGCTGTCAGAATCCGCACTCTGCAGGAGGTACCAACAAAAAGATGAAACTTTCGAGCATATCCTCTACGATTGCCCGACGCTCTCATTTATTAGAAGATTTGTGTTTGGTTAAAATTGGCTAACACGGCCTTTTGGTGTCGCTGTCAACTACATTAAATTTGTAGGCTGGCTCACGGGCTAGGAGGTGCTTATTTACATAGGACGATACACAATGGACCTAGTGAGGTCAACCCACCCTCCACAGGTTACAGATACAGAAGACTCACAAGTCTGTATAATATAAATAGAATATTATTATAAATATTATTATTAGACTCACTAATATATTTTAAACCATAACATAGGCATAGGATACTCTATGGAAACTAATTTATAACAATTCAGTTCGAACTTTGCTACAAGGAAAGAATTGTAAAAAACACTGGAGATAGGAGATTGTAATTTCATATTTGGAGCTAAATATTGTTTTAATTAAACCAAAGGTATCATTTCATTGAAGTATTGTAATTCCTATGATGGGTCAAAAAGAACCATGTTGTGGAGAAAGTCAGTCTCACAGAATGACCCGATATGGCACCATTAAAAAAGAAAGATTGTGATTCAAGGTAATTCATAAAATACGCTGTTTACCTTAAAATATAATAACCTAAATATAATCAGGTTTTTAGTAATATTTATCACAAAAAAAAGAATCACTTACCTGAAGCGGTAAACTTAATAAATCACCTCTTTGTAGTAGAATTTCTCTCTTGGCAGGTATAGAGCAGGACAATTCTGCAGATGGACAAAGTACCATAAAACTAACATCTTCTGTGAGGTTTATAATTTCAGAATCATAAATTCGATGATTGATGATAACATCACCACTTATGTCCATATAATTAAACAGTCTATTGCAAGCACTTGTCACTAATTCCAGAAAAGTCTTTTGATGTTCTGATCCTGTATCTATAATTTCTATGCAGAAATTTTGTTTTAAATAAGTCCATTCTTCACTAAAAAAATATTTATACTATATAGTGAATCACAAACAATAGTAAATGTTAAAGGCATGAAGTAAAACATTTAAAACTTTCAATGTGTTAATAATTTATAAAAACTATTCTTATAGACATTATATTTAAAAAATAAATGTGAACAAACGTAAAAAAACATGGAAATTATTCTAAATTACCCAATTCAAAAAAAAAATATAATATTTAGGTTAAAAACTAATTGTGTAGCCAGAAGAAAACAATGCTAGGATGACTGAATAGTTTTTTTTATTTGATGTAGTAACTATCTAGCGCTACTTTAGAAACGGCTTTATTAATTAGAACCTAACAGTGTTTTCAAAAAAGTTATACATGAGTAGCGTTTTGATGTTCGCACAAGTTTTAACAGTTAAAGCTGAGATATGCGGACATAGATAAGTCAAACATTAAAATATGTTTATCATGTTTTAGATTCGTTAGAAATTTGGAATTGGCCTCAATATATATTCTAATAGTTTGCTTTTGGGTCCTATTCAATTGTTTTTAAATGAACGCGTTCATGTCAAAATGGCCCAAATCCTAACCTTAGTTATTACATATCAGCATTTACGATTTATAATTAAGACAGCTTGCAAAAAAATGAAAATCACTTGTGAATAGCAAAAGCGTCTAGCATTAGAGAATACCATAAATCGTATATTCATCGAACTTTATTGGCAAGTCCGCTTGGCACTTTCGTTGTTATACGTTTTCGGCTGAAAGTTAAAGAATAACCTCCAGGTCATAGAATAAATTGTAAGAAGAAAAAAGAAAATACTACTGCTTTCTGAAAAAAAAAAAAATGTCCTCTACGATCAAAGGAAAACGTTCATATTAAATATTGTAGAAAAGCAATCTGTTAAACGTGGCCGAAATAAAAGTGTCAAGCATCCCTCCATTATTTTCTAAATATTAATACGATTAGAAAACAGGTTTGTTGTAATAAGTATTTTAAGTTAGCTCCTCTTACAAAGGCAAGTTCATTTTATTATAGAAGAAAACAACGTACACAATTTTACTATGTATAATCTTCAAACCCATGAAGTTATGTGCTACTGGTTTGATAAAACCGACACGGACCTTGTAACATCTTAACTTGCATAATACATTGTTCAGACATTATCTAAAATTTTAGACGATAATTGCTTATTGGTTATCCTTTGGTCAGAAGGCTGTAATTATCAAAATCGGAATATCTGTTCACAGTGTCATCAAAATAAACTTTGAAAAGAAAGACATCTACCTGGACAATACTGTACTATTACAACAGAAGCTAGACGAGAGCCTTCCCATAATATGAAAGCCATTTTCTTGATTAAACTTTTTTTTAAAGACAATTTTGACAAAAAAAAAACTTTTTTGTATATGACTCAATTAGACCTGGAAAAACGACTAGTGATCCAATCGTTATGGATATCAAGACCATTAAGTGTAGTAAAAGTGAGATAAGTATTAAAACCAATTTTGATCACGAGTATTCTGCTTTGTCCAAAAGACCGAAAAAAAGCTGCTCATAGCTTCTTTTTATTTATTTTTTATTTATTTATGAATGTAAAATTCCAAATTGTACAGTATATCTAACCTAACACAAACAATTGTAGGAGTTGAAAACAATATAAAATAAATTAAAAAATATATATAAAATATTAAAAAAAGGAAGAATAACACAACACCGCAGGGCGATACGAGGAAAACTTAGATATTCAGGAAATACAAGTCTCTTTTCAGCGCCAAAATATTGCAATATATTTCATTCCGAGTAAAATTTGTTATAGTTTTTGCATAAGCGATCAATAAATGCACTTTGTCTGTAATTGGTTCTATCTTTTTACATTCAAAAGTGATGTGTGCCGAGTCCGTCGAGCAGGAACCAATAGTTGAACTCTCTCAAGCAGTGACCCGCATTTGATAGAACCACCTATTAATTTAGCCAGGAATAGGAGTAAAGCCTGTTTTCTTCTGCATTCCAGGCACTGCATGCCGCGAAGCATTAATCTTATTTGATAACATGTGTTATGGCTATGAAATCGTTGTTTAAAGAGAAAGTATTTTACGAATTTACGTTGCACCCTTTCAATTCTATTGATATGACAGGTGTAAGTAGGTTGCCAAATAATAGACCAGTATTTCAGACCACTTCTCACCAGGCCATTGTAAAGTGTCATGATTGCTTTTATGTTATTCACGTACCTAGTATGTCTCTTGATGAAGTCTAGCATTCTGAGGGCTTTGCATACTATGGAATATTAAGATATTGTGGTATGGAAAATAATGCCCAGATCAATAACTGTCGAAGATCTATCTAGGTTTACGCTGTCAATACTATAACAGTTAAGAGTAGGATTGTGGGATCTTGTAAAATGCATGGTTGTGCACTTAGAAACATTTATAGAAAGAGCGTTATTTTTACATCAGATAGCAAACCGGTTTAGTCAGACTGTAATGCGGAGTTATTACCAGTGATTCTACTAAAAAAACTTTAAATCGTCCACGAAAAGAAGGCATTGGCTATTAAGAAAGCAGGACGTAACATCATTAAAAAATAAGGAAAACAATAGGGGACCTATATGTGAACCTTGAGGAACACCGGATAGGACTGAAACGTCACATGATACGGAATTATGCACTATGCCACGTAGGCACCGATTACTCAAATAAGATTTAATCCAGTAAATATAAGAACCAGAGATACCGATTTCGGAGTTTCTTGAGTAGCAATTCATGACAGACACTGTCAAAAGCTTTTGACAAATCAGTGTAGATGGTGTCAACCTGGTAACCATTTTCAATTGATGAAATTAAGAAGTATTGATAGATTGCCAGATTAGTTGATGTCGAGCGACCTTGATAGCAGCCATGGTGTTGAGGTGAGATAGTTTTTACACGTGTACAACATTTCATCTGTTAGTATGGATTCAAATAGTTTTGGAATTATCGATATAATGGAAATACCTCTATAATTCTTTATATCTCTTTTATCACCTTTCTTGTAAACTGGCATACGGTGGGAAAACTTACAAGCAGATGGAAATATTCTACTATCAAATGATTTTTGGAAAATTTGGCTAAGTGGGATTGAGGAGTCACAGCACCCCTTCAAGAACGACGGTGGTACTCACTGATCTGTGTTATTTTACTGGATAGGATATAGGCTATATTTAACATACTAAAAAATTGTTCCACCAAGGAGACCGGAAGTGCAACACTGCTGACAGAACTGAAATTTGGGATAATTTAACATACCTAACCTATAATTTGATTAGTTTTTCTTCTTATTCTTCTTCTATTCCTTTTGCGGGCGATGTCCTTCGGGAAAATTCACCCATAATTTGATATTTTATGAAAGAAAATATAAAAATGGAAACGTGAAGCATATTGTATCTTCAGGAATGAACCTTTATTGTTTATTTCATAGTAATGCTATCCGATACTACCTACATAAATAGCAGATAAAGGATTAGTTCTAAAGTACCTATAGTGGAAAGAAAAATTTTTAAAACTGCTCTAATGATTTTTTATAACTTATAAGGACTACAACTAAAAAGAGATATTGGTAATATAAATAACATCCTCGAGCTAGAACTACATAGATGATCAAATCACTTTAGGGAACAAGTATGAAATGAGAATCGGTGAGTTTGCCATTGTTGCAATGGAACCAGGAAGAACAGGGATATTAATATGGTTAAAAGATGTAGAAGATCTAAACAATACCTGTGAAAATCTTTAACAGAGAGAACAATATGGATTCATGCAACTAAACCAATTATAATTGAAACTGATCTAGTGGTGTTTTCAGGAACATGATTTATATTAAGAATTTTGAAGAATAATGTAGGTAGGTAGTTTATAATTACAAAGTTAATTTTAGATGTTGAAATAAATTTTAAATTACCTTCACCTGTCTAGGAACGTTGATTAAATTTACCGATTATTACCACTGTTAGAAATTTCTAACTCTTCCAGGTTAATACATGGTCTTTTTGTTGTCTCTCTAACTATTTTTACACTGTACAAACCACATTGAAATTTGTGCAACTCATAAATATATGTATTCCAAAAATTGTTCTAGGAAAATACTCTTATGACTTAAATTTTGTGTAGACTATTTGAATGTAATTTACAATTAAATAAAGAACAAATTTAAAGGCTTTACATAATTTTTACATTTATGCAAAAATTGATTTATATATTTTTAACTGAAATAGAGGAAATCATGGGAAAAGGTGAAAAAATAAACATTTATATTTCTTGTAACATATTTATTAACGTAAAAAAGATATAAAGTACCTAATATTTTTAAATGCATTACCAACAGAGTCCTCGTTTGTGTTTTATCAATGCAGGATAGCTCAAAATGGTCTGAACATAATTGCATTACTGCACTTAGGACCGATTCCACCGTTGTGTTAAACGAAGTTTAAAATGGGTCCTATGATTGAACGTTTACGTTATCCGTAACGTACATGTTAGGCCGAATTTTAAAAGTAACGAGGCAAGTTCGTATGATGGAAACCTGTTAAATTAGAACATAACAGGCGGAAAATAACAGTAATGTGTTATGAAAGACTTTACATCATACGAATTTGTCTCTTTACTGTTAAAACTCGGCCTAACATGTACGTTACGGATAACGTAAACGTTCAATCATAGCACCCATTGTCATTTTAATCTCTGTTTAACACAACGGTGGAATCGGCTCTTACAATATTAAAATTGGTCATATCCATACTCTTCGACCATTTTCTTAAAAGCTCCAATTTTGTAGAAACCTTAAATAACAAGAACATTATTTAATTTAGTAATAATCGTTATAATTCACTTCAGTTTTTATCATTTAATCGAAAAATGTTATTTGTATTGTTGTATGCTTGTGTAAATTAGTAATTGTTTCAGTTTGTTTCGACAAAATAGATCTATTAACAAATTATTATAAATATAATAGTTTTATTTACCTATAAAGAGTATGGATACTCTTTTTACTTCGTTTTCCACAATAAAAACACGTCTTCACCGTAACTTCTTGACACAATTAAATGACAAATGTGATAGCAAATGGAAATAGAGGTTATGTTAAATAACATCCGGTCCGCCATATTATTTGCCCAAATCGGCCAATTTTTCGGAACGTTTTTTAGGGGGCTATGTCCTATCCAGTAAAATAATACAGATCAGCGGTGGTACCCCATCAAGGCCCGCAATTTTACTAGAATCAAGACTTTTTATTTTAGAAGATACTTCACAAGGAGTGAAAGTGTGTATGGCTAAAGTGGAATAAAATGGCACAGCAGGAAGATCAATTTTTCGGTTTAAGTCGTCTTTAGAACAGCACGATTGAAAATAAGATGCGAAGGCGTTTGCAATTTCTTCAGGATCACTGAGTATATAGTTTCCGTACTTCATTAAACTCGTCCACAAATATAAGATTCAGTATCCGTTAGAGCGAATTTAAAACATAGTTTATTTGATTGAGTTCATGGAAACACATTGTATCAATTAAAGGCTCGGCGGTAGCAAGTTGAATTCTAGTTGGAACAACAAAATTTCCCATTGGACATGTGAAAGATTGAAGTCACCACATATTATGAATTTATGACTTTTAACTTTGCTTTTTAGAGATTCGCATAAATCACTTTCTAATGACGAGTTTGGAGGAATATACACATATCCAATTACCGTGTCGATATTATTTATTTTAGCCTTAACCCAAATATCATCATATTGCGTAGATGTTGAAGAATCAATCTTGTCAGCTGTAACACCTCCTCGGCTGCAATTGAGGAGGGTATAATTTCTGTACTTCCTGAATACAACATATTTATCGCCGAAAAATTCAAAACTATGAAAGTCTTCATTAAGCAAAGTTTCACTCAAAAGGATAATGTCATAGTTACAAGAATATATACTAAATATCAGCTGATTTCGTTCGTAGTCCATTAACATTTTGATAGTATATAGTAGTTTGGTCACCACTGAATTGAGGTTGTATATTTTTTAATACAATGGGGTTTTGTTATGTTGTATGTTGGATAGTCTTTATTTTCCAGTGCCCTTCCTTTAAACAGAGACATTCATAACTCGTAATTTGTGTACATAATTTCTGTAAGCCATTTGGAATTTATTTTCTGTAGAGCTTTATCAAATAAATAAATAACTTAAGATTGTCACTCATTTTGTAATGAAATTTTCTATGATGGACGCAATTAACAAGCTAAAGTGAAATGCCTTTTTTAGAATTTCTTCGATTATAACAATCTAAGCACATTTATTCTAAGCAATTAAGAATTTTCCTTGTTTGTCTTTGAAATTATTTTTTGCGTAATCGGCATCAACCGCTATACCCAGTGTTTTGTGTAGGCTTTGTTACAGCTTCCTAGCGCCACTTCAGGAACAGCAGTGTTAATTATAACCCAACTGTAAATGGTCGAATGGGGAATCATACCTATGCAAAAGAATGAATATTTAATTTATTAAATTAAATAAAAATCCTGTCACTGGCGGGATTCGAACCTGAGAATCCTTCGATTTCAAAGTCATGACTCTAATTATTATTATTATTATTATTATTAAAAATAAATACCTTGGTAATAATTATACTTAAACATTATTTTGTTCCTCTTATTTTAGATAAACATAATACCGTCTATATACAAGTTCTAATATTTTTTGACGAATCAATACGGCTTAAGTATCAAAAACAAATTTTAAAAAATTAATTAAATTAATGCTTGTTGTATATTTTGAAGTCAGAACATTAAAATTGTTTCAGGTTTTCAACAAATCAAGTTTTTAATATCTCTTATAGTTAAATATCACATTGTAGATTTTTTGGTGTTTGACTAAACCTAGAAAACAACTTACTGAGTAACATCTGGGTTGTCTCTAATCTTGCAATGAGGTAGCATATTGGGCGACTTTAAACTTGTAACAATTTTTATAGCATCAACGGAACTTTCCATCTTCAAATATGCCAGATACAGACCTTTACTTAATTTCAAAGTAGAAACTTGGTGATACAGAATTTGTTGTTGTATACTCGCCATTAGTATTTCTGATAAATTAAGATCTTCACTGAGTACAATCTTCTTATACAATTTATTGGTTGGTATCCATCTAGAGTTCAAAAGTGATACACTTTTTGGAGACTTAATATAATTAACTGAACTCAAGACCATGGTGCCACGAGTATCTTTTAAAGGTTTATAATAAACCTGACCTAAATCTTGAATACCAAGAGACGACTGCATTTGTATGACAGCAGAGAGCATTTTGGATCGGAAATGTATTGTTGAAGAGACATTCTTCTCCATTTCTAACCTAATGAGTTTAGATTCGTTCCAAGTACAAGAAATCTTCATTAGCCAATGCAAATCATTGTAAATGGAACTCGGGAATGTTTCATCAATTTCAATCACAGGCATAAAGTCTTCATTTGTTACAAGCACTCTGTCTTCATGGTAGAGAATACATGCTAGGTACACACCCCTGAAATATTGTAAAAATTTGAAAAAATTAACAAATAACTTTTAAGAACAATTTGTATGTCTACTACTCATGAGAGTATTTTATGATAGCTCCTAAATTATGGTCATACTTGTAATATTTAATAGTCTGTTAACTGGGATTCCTTTGACTCGTGAATGTTTTACATTAAGTATACAACATAGGCAAGAAAAAGAGTAATGATAGAAAGTAGAAGTACCTTAATATAAATAAGAAATACATAATTGTGAAAATATTTAATATTTGAAATAAAAAATATAATAAAAACAAGAAATAATAGAAATATTTATAAAACACTAGAAAGTACAAGTTATGTTGTGGATTTAAATAGAACTCCTTTGTGTTATATTGTATTAATAAAAGTCTAATTAATTATAGGGAGTGACAATTTAAAAACTTACAATGGCTATATCTTATGAAATGAGAATATCAGAAAATACTTAAAACCGTTTCTAAAATAGGAAAGGGAACTTAAATTATACATTACAGAACTTAACCACATCTAACCCTAAGCATCATCCATCTCAACAAAAAAACAGCATCCCTCTCTACTTGAAAAGCTAGTAAAAATGATATTTTATCATTTTCATACGGATATTGGGTCATGACTCTAACCCAGAGGAGATGTAACTACTAACAAATATCGTGCGGCCCTGAATAAGACATATTCTAACGAACACAGTAGGGTATAATATCCGCTTTTGTCATAGTAGTAAAGTGTATGTATTAAAATATTCATTATTTATTGTTTCGGCCTTTACTTGATGAAAATCCATTTAATTTTGAAAGAGTAAAACCAAATTTGGTAGATTTTCACACTTTTATTTTAAAAATAAAAATTATTTTTTTTAAACAAACACTAACATGACATATGTTTCGAAGTACAACTTCTTTTTCAAATGTGACTATTTACAATTCGGTATCCAATATATATACAAAATAATTTAACAAAACAAAGTACTTAAGAAAACATCAATAACATTACAAAATAAACTAACTATTTAAAGTAAATAAGGGTACTTAGGTGATTATAATATCCATCAAATAACAATAAGATAGCCCATTACCGGGATTATCTCACAGAAAACTGGGAAAGAGGTTTAATAAGGGTGAATTATTAATATCTAATTGATCATTTAGTAAGTTATCTGAATTTTTTAAATCTATTTATTTCAAGTGTTTCTAAATGGTTTAATTTAAGGCTCTTATTTTCTACATGTAAAATTTCAAAGTTGTCTGTAAAAGAATGATTTTCAGCTAAAATATGATTTGAGTAAGTAGAATTATTTTTGTTTTTTGTATAGCTATTATAATGTTCGGAATAGCGTTTTTTGAAAGTACGGCCTGTTTGACCAATATACAATTTTGGACAACTACCACAATTTAATTTATATACCCCCGATTTATTATTAGGATTAATTTTACCCTTATTGTTTTTAATATACTTCCCAAGCGTATTATTGGTTTTAAAAGCTACGTTAATATTTTGGTTTTTTAAATATGATGATACCTTTTCACTAGGAGCTCCTATATATGTAAGACTCTTATATCTGCAATTTGGATCTTTAATTATGGGATAAACTTGTTGAATAGCCTGTTTAAAAAGTTTTTTCTCTAAAATGTTGTCTACTAACTTTGAATTAAAATTATTATTTACTGCGATTTGTTTAATGATATTTAATTCTTTTGTGAAGTTCTCTTTGGTAAGGGGAATATTAACTAATCTATGGATCATACTGTTGTATGCTGCCAGCTTTTGTTTGTATGGATGAGATGAACTATTATTTATTGTAATATCCGTATGTATAATCACCTAAGTACCCTTATTTACTTTAAATAGTTAGTTTATTTTGTAATGTTATTGATGTTTTCTTAAGTACTTTGTTTTGTTAAATTATTTTGTATATATATTGGATACCGAATTGTAAATAGTCACATTTGAAAAAGAAGTTGTACTTCGAAACATATGTCATGTTAGTGTTTGTTTAAAAATTTTTATTTTTAAAATAAAAGTGTGAAAATCTACCAAATTTGGTTTTACTCTTTCAAAATTAAAATATTCGCTCAAGAAAACGATTTACCTCCCACTCTTTTGCCACAAGCTGTATTTTTCACAGATGAAAGGTCATGATAAGGTAACCCTTATTCCGGAGGTAATACAAAATTAGAAGGGCACTATCATCAAAAATCCAGATATTGATACCACCGAATAGAGAAAAAATACCCATTTTTTGGTCAAATGCACAATAAAATCTTTGTAGGGAGTAATTGTTTATACTTATAAAAAAAAAATCATTTGCATTAGCCCTTACGGCCGAAAAAAAATATAAACGTAAATATCTTGGTTTTAGCCCTTCAAAAATTTAGTTAAAAAGTCGTCTTTTTTAAATATACCACTCATTTAACAAAAAACGAAGGCCTAAATGAAAAAAAAAAATTCTTTATAAAATGTTTGCTTATATGTTGACAAGGTAACAGAGTAAACACCATATTTTTTGCTTTTGAATTAACAGAGATATAACAATAAACGATGAGAGATGTCATAGGTTTACACTTCCTGAATATGTAAACATCTTAACATTGCTAATTTTTTCATTATATAAAGTTATGGTAGGACACAATCTATCTCTTTCATATATTAACTTCAAGATTTTTGAATAACATTTAACTGATTTAATGTAGTTCCATACAGGCCTCCCCATACTAGGATTCCATACCGTAGTATAGATTCTACTAGACTGTAGTATAATGTTATTAGTAGATCCTGGTTGAGAAATTGTTTTAGAAGATAAAATTTATAAATCAGAAATCTGTTTTTTGCTATATATATATATTATATGGCAGTCCCATTTTAAGTGCTGGTCTATAATTATACCTAAATATTTGGATATTTCTGTTTCCTGTATGTCTAAATTTTGACATGTTAAGCGTCTAAATTGAGGACGATCGGCCACTGCCTTTGAAAAAGCAATGTAGTTTGTTTTGTTAACATTCAAAGACAATTTAAAAACATCCAGCCAGTTTTTTACATGTTTCATTCCAGCTATACACGTGTCTTGACGGATTCCCAATCTTTATCACTGAAGACTAGCACTGTATCATCAGCATATGATACAACTTTACCTTGAATATCAATCTGAGTTAGGCTCTTAATGTATAAATTAAATAGTATAGGTCCCAGAACAGTCCCTTGAGGCACTCCGATTTGTATATTTTCAGGGTTACTCACATTGTCTCTGACCTTTACCTTCTGTTGTCTGTGTGTCAAATAATTTTCAAAAACCTTCAACACGATGCCCCTCACTCCATTCTGTTCAAGAACATTTAAGAGCTTCTGATGTGGCACCGTGTCAAATGCTTTTGCTAGATCTAGAAATATAGCTATACACTTGTTACCAGTATTCATTTCATCAGTAACATATGAAATCAATTCATGCTTAGCATCTCCTGAGTTAAGACCCTCAGTAAAGCCATATTGGTGCTTGGGAAGTAAGTCATTAGTTTTTAAAAGATCTGTCAGTCTATCTTTCACACATTTCTCAAATATTTTGGCCACATTACTAATTAAACTAAAGGTCTATAGTTAGTTATTAATTTTGGATTACCAGCTTTATAAATAGGTGTTATAATTGAAGTTTTAAATTGTTTAGGTACGATTCCTGTATTAAAAATACAATTAATTATATGCATTAAAGGTTCCAGTAAATACGGATGTAGTAGTTTCAGATGTTTTACTATTATACAATCAAATTCCGGGGCACTATTATTTTTTATAATATGTTTGTGTTTTATATCGTTTTTGCATATCGATTTCAGAAACATTCATTTTTCAGTGACACAGGAAAATCCACATTACATTTAGGGATATTTGTGAACATATTAGTGCCAATATTCGAAAAGTAGTTATTGTAGTAATTCGCCATTTCATTATCATTTTCAAATTCCTCATTATGTTGGTTAACAATCTGTAAATTGGTATTATTTTTTTATGATTTTTATTAGTTGTTTCAGATATTAATTGATAAGTTTTTTTTCAGATCATTTTTGTTTTGGTTTATTTTATTGTTATAATAGTCATTTTTAGTTTTTGATATTAGTTTGTTGAAATTATTTCTAAATGTTTTATAGTGAGTTTGTTTGTTAATAGTATAGTTTCTTTGTAGATCTTTTTTAAGTTTATCCCTAGTTTTAATAGAATTAATTAAACCATTTGTTATTCATGGCTTTATTTTTTTATGGATTTTAATTTTAATATTTTGAGTGGTTTAACATGTTTCAATGATATTAAGATACATGTCATAAAAAAGTTGTGTTGCAATTTCTGGATTATTTTCATTGCAAACACTTTCCCAGTTTACAGTTTCGAATTTTTGTTTTAATTTATCAGTATCGATTTTAGTTATAGTTTTATATGTATTGTAGGAACGTGTGTAGTTTTTGACAGATTGTGAGATATTTATCATAATAGGATCATGATCAGTCATATCACAGCTGATTACATAAGAGTTCACCGATAGATTTTCAGTCTTAATATTTTTTTTTAAGAATATATGATCCAAGCATGTTTTACTTTGTGGCCTCATAATAGTGTTTATGTAAGACATGAAACATTGGGAGTAAAAAGTTGCTTGGTAATCAGTAGTTACTTGATTGATTACATTTAGGAGATTAATATTAATGTCCCCTATGAATATTTCAATATTTCTATTTTGGTGATTCAGTATGAAATTTTCTAAATCCCTTATAAATGCTTGTGCAGAGGTTTACATTATAGTATTTGTTTCTGAGTAGGAACTTTTTAACTAAATTTTTATTCTACAAAAAAGAGCTGTGCGATATCTATGTAAAGTCAGTGTAGAGGTTACATGCAAACCATTGTTCTTAAATCACAAAATTTTAACCCTTTCATGTCTTTTTATTATGATTTGTACCTTCTCATAATCCAATACTCGGCAAACGTATTTTATTCCTCTTTCCATTACCCACTCTTCACTTACTAAAAATTCTATTGTTTATTTAAGTAAAAAAAAGAAAGAATTTTTTTGGATGGTTTCATATGACGAGTCTGCATTAGTCATATTTGTATGGACTTTTATTTTTTTAATAGGAATATTTTTATTTCAAATGGATGACTTTGTAAGCAATATTTGTATGTATTATACAGTAAAGTATTTTTATATTGATTTGTTTGATGGATTATTTAGCAACTATGAGGATAACACTGTGAATGCTTACAATTCGGTTTTTGTAATTGGTCTAGTAGTTGTTCCTTGTTGGGTGTACCTCATAACGTTGAAAATCATGTAGCCATTGTAAGTTTTTAAATTGTCACCCTGTATGTATATCAAGCAATAGTTATGGTAAGAAAAAATAGTATTTATTCTTTGCTTACCTACGAAGATTCTTCTGAAATTTGCTAGCAACTGTAAACAACTGTTTAATTGTTGTTTTCTTCTTTGGTATCCTTCGTTGTTCATTTTGATTTTCTAATATTTCCATGTCTGGTCTGTATGATTTCATTTCTTCTAATAACTTATCTAATTGAGCTTCCGTTTGACTTTGTCTGAAATTGAAGTAAAACATTTACAACAAAAGACATATTTTAAAGTAGATTTTTGTAATTTTTTAGTGGAACAGAAATATTCTAATATATCAGTCTGAATAGCTAATTATGGTACATGTTTATTTACTAGGTACATATTAGCAAAATACTTACTGACTAATCATTTCTGAATCACTAGTAGCATCAGATTTTTCTGGCCAAAGAAGGGGGACAAGATCAGGTGTACCTAAAATTTTAAATATAATTTTATAGTTACTATGTAGAATTTGATTTTTTTTATTTTGGACTATCCCTATTTGTATAATTTCTATCTTATTTGTTATGTGAACAAATACTGTAAAAGTAACTAATAATAAATCATTAAAAATACTTCTGTATGTCTACTTTTTGTAATTTTCAGGTGTTGTTATTTTCTAGATTTAAGTTGTTAATTGAGAAATCGTATACATGAATAAGAGATTTTAATACAAACACAAGATTGAGGTGGATAAGTGAGTCAGAAAGTATTAAAAATTGAAGCTTTATTCTTTAAAATATGAAAGGTTTTAGCACTAGATTTATGATTTAACAAGTTAAATTTAATAGTTTAGAGATGAACTTTTAAAAAAATCATTATTCCATAGAACTACCAATATATTATCAAATAAAAATAGTTATTTAGTTAAATCAATTGAAAAAAAAACTTTTATTCAACTATCTACTCCTAGTGGTGTCTTTACTACTAAGTATTAGGTAATTCACTACTGTTATCAAAAAAAAAAAACATCATTAAGTAAGATAGTAGTTGCTATAAGCACCTATGATAATTATGAAAGTTTTGATTACTTTCGCTATGTCACTTGCCTGTGTTTGTAGACTGTGAGATACAAATAACTTAAGCTACTGTGTGTCAAAACAACCAAGTGGATGATTAAAAGTAGGGGGTACCACAAAACATTTTCGAAATAAAATATCGTGGTAAAGTATAGCTAATATATTTATAATTATGTTGACTCAAAGGAGTTAATTCTAATTTAGGTATTAGAATGATTTAAAAATCATAATGTACTTACCTGCAAAATATGGCACAGAATTTTTGCCTGCTCTTTCTTGATTCATTGTAAGATTAGTTTCTTCTTTATTATTGTATCTGAGTGGCAATATTGCCTTATCAAAAGGCAGAATTTCATCCTCCATTCAATATAACGACAAATTTAATTCTTGCAAAGAAAACAATTTAAATATACAGAAAAAAATTAGAAATTAATATAAATAATAAAATAATCTCACAACTTTCAAGGCCTTTCAAAAATAAGTAATAATTATATTCCAGCTAATTCCACCTAATAAAAATGAACAATAAACCAATATAATTTCCTTAACCTTCTGTTAAAAATTGAAAACAATGTAATAGCAATAGAATATAGGACACGTTACAGTGATAGTAAGTACCCAAAGATTTTCAAATAAAGAACTATGTAGCTTTAAAAAAATTACCTAGCAGTTTGATGGAATTATATTATGAAGTAGATTATTTAAATTGATAAAATCATTATTTTGTTGTACAACAAAAATATCTACATCACAACAATCACAACATAACCTAAACGTCTATTTCTTCTTCTCGTTTTTGACGTTTGAATGAATGACGCATTTAATATGAATGACGTTAAAAACAGGGCCGTACTAGCCATTTTCAATGCAGAACCACATTGTTAAAGTTATAAACAACATGAAGGTGCATTGCATATTTAATATAAATTTCGCTTTTACAACTTATTCAGAAATCAGTAAAAATATCAAATAAAAGAATGCGAAGACACAATCTCCATGTATATCTTGTCAGAGAAATTAAAATTACCTAATAAAAATATACCTATTTAAAAATCACATTTTTTAATACCTAATATTTTCATCACTTTTTAAAATACTTTTTAAACCCGTCAAGTGCAAAGTACTAAGTTACAAATAGCTCCCATGATCTACATGGTCCAGTATGAAATCTAAAATCATAATTAATTATTTTTATTTGTTTAGATACCTATTAGTTTTAAATTATATAAAACACTTTCGAATGACTTGGGAACTTTAATAAAACATTACCTATGTCTCAAGGCACGTGACTTAAGTAGGTCGTTACCATCGGTGAACAATTTAGTCAAAATAATTGCATCTTATTATTTTGGTTTAAATATTGGAGACGCAATAATAGATAATATCTCAAGATATTTGCCAACCAACAGTTTTTTATTTTAAATAGTTCAAACAATATAATTTTCGGACATTTACGATTTGTATTTCAATTTAGAAATTCAGATTTTAAACTCGCAGTGTTATTTATTGTTCATCTGTATTAAATTAGATTTGGGTAGGGCTGTGGGCCATGTAGCCTTCCCCACTTCGATCTTTTCAGATCTAATGTGGATATCCTTTAATCATTGGTTAGAGTACCTTGTCTAGTTTGATTTTTGTAGTAGACTCCAATTTTAAGCATTTTTTTGGTAGTATATATTTTTTATATTTATTGTTTTAGTGAAATTTCATTGTGATTGACAATAATATACATTTGAAATCAATAAATAGTTCTTTTTAAATATACCTAAATAAAAATTGATGAAATTGGGTAAATTTTTAGGGATTCATAAAAGAACGTAACTACAAATAGAGGTATTAGTATGTGATGGAAGGAGGCAGTTTCATAAAAAATAGACCAAGTTCACTTTACATTCTAATACCAACTTGTTTGCTTTTTTTTGAATAAAGCTGTACTTGAAAACAAAAATTTTAATAAATAAATAAATAGTTAATAAATTATACAGGTTTAAAAAAGAATTTGAATATTACAAAGGTAGAAATAAATTACAAAGCATCAGACTTGATCGTCGCCACTCTACATCTAACTGCCTTTCTTCCTATCCCCACTCTTCACACTTTTTGGTTGAATTTATTGATAATATATTTATATCCATGATTTCTTCGATATTTTCTTTTTTTTTTTTTTTTTTTTTTTTTAAAGACTATAGAAGTAAGATTGGATTATTTTTACTAAATTTTTCATGCTGCATTTCAACTTTTTATAAAGCTAAACAAACAGATAAAAAAAATATAATGAGTATCTCAAATAGTAATTAAACTGATGCAAATAGTGTAAAAGTACCTCAACTGATAAATTAAATGTATGCCATATAATTTTTTTGACCTAGGTAGGTATAACACCTTGTACATATTTTTAAATATGCCAGAATTGTTCTTTTATTGCGGCACATTAAAATTGATGTCACTGATGTTAGCCATTATTTTGACACTTCAACTTGACATATAATATATATACATAAAATACATTAAATCATAAAATTTGTATCTTTAAGATTTTAATGAGTATTCGAGAACGTCTCAAAATATCTTATGAAAATGTGGGCTTTAGCGCTGATAATACTTGGAGTAAAGAATTCAATTCTTACCAACAAACTAATATGGACCTTCTCATGAGGGAAAAAGGACTTATAGAACCAAAATCTTTAGAATTAAGACCCAGAACAGTAAGAGATTGCATTCCAAATAGTAAACTAGCGAAGTATTCAAATTACGAATACAACGATTCTAGAGAACTTTCATACACTTTAGATGATTTTAAACCACCAATAAATTATGAATATAACTTTGCTGGGGAAATTGAAAAGGAACCCTGGATGTTGGAAGAAGTTAACAGGTTTTTTAAATTGTATACAGAATTTTACAAATCTTTAGTTGACACTAAAGAAGATCAAAATAGATTAAAATTTGTTAGTGGCTTTGAGTCACCATTCTTAAAGTGCAATTCATTATCAGAATATTTTCTTAAACTACAGGTAACCAAAGATAGTATTAAAAAGCTATGGGACCCTGAATCGATAGATTCAAGAACTTTTATGTTTCGCAGCCTACACTCAATTCGAGGAGAAAAGTCTTTATTAGTTTATAAGTCACCTGCAGGTAGTGTTTTTGTATCAGAATACGATGACGTCAGTAGTGAATTAAAGGAGGACTACTATGAATGGTACAAAAATGATTTTGATCAAAATAACATGGATCGTTTAAATTTATTTTCCAGTTCTTTGAAACAGATCCCCAAAGAAAATACCATTGATAATCAAATACTGGAAAATCAAACAGATGCAGCTCAGAACCGTCGACTTTATTCAGCAGTTTTACAAGGATTTTCTTCTAACAAAATTGCTCCAACGCCCACCGACAATCAGATGACAATTTTAAGAAGAAATTTTTCTAAAACTGAAGAAAGTGTAATGAAAAAAATAGGAAATGTTAATAATTTTAGTAAAAGAAAAGTAGATTCTGATGAAACCGGTAAAAACCCTTTATTTGTTAACAACATACCAAAACTTTTTCCAAATAAGTCGATCACAAGTTCTCGTAGTGTACAAACTGCAACATCAGCCAGTGAAGTAGGAATTGATAGTAGTTTAAATTCTCAATGTGAAAAAATTTGTCAAGTAAACCCAATATCTCAATCTCAAAGTACGTACTTTCCATTAAGTCAGGTTGTATCGCAACAACCAATGATGCGGTATCGGCAAAATTTTGCTCCAAATAACTATCAGTATCCATCTTTTTATATGTTTGTACATAATTCATTTCAACAAAACTACCTTCAACCGTTTTATAACCCAATGCTACTTCAAAGGACTGTTCCAATCAATTTAGAAAGAAATGTACTTCAAAGAAACTGCCAATCACACGTTCCATCTCATTATAATGTTGCTTCTAGTTTTATTTCTCAAAACCAATTTTCAACTAATTTTCAAAAATTTGACAATCAATTATTTAAGAACAAATCGAGAACGAAAACTGACTTACAAAAAAAAAGTTTTATTCGATCGAGAAGAAATTTGTCGTTAGATGATATTAAAAAACCCAGCGAAACTTTATCATTCTCGAATTTAACTTCCCGTTCAGACTGTTCAATAAGCGAGGTGAATAATGAAATGGATGAATTAGTGTCCAAAACTGTTAACTTAGTTTTAGAAGATTCTAAAATAGATTCTATTGTACCCATAACTGGAAGTCAGTCTGATGAACTAGAAAGACAAGCTTTGGAACAGTATACTAATTCGAGCGACAATGTTTTCCAGGATTTAGAAAGACAGGCTGCAGAGGAGTATGAGGATAATTCGGAAAACTACTTAGGCCCCCCGAATTATGAAATATTGTTCGGGGGGTTTTTAAAACAAATGAAATATTGTATATCTTAATTAATAAGGTTTTTAAATACTTAGGTTTTCAAGACACAATCTACAAAAAAGATTTAAATATGTTTGACAAATTAAAAATAAATACAAATTCTTAATTCGTTATTATGCATACACGTTAAAAAATTAAAATAAAATGGCTCCAAAACCTTGTACACATTATCGTTTTTTTTTTATTCATTTTTACCTGTTGGAGCAGTCGGATCAATTTTTATTTAAGCTAAAAAGATCATTCATACTCAAATGATACAGGCTATAACGATATAGAAACACAATGCTATTGAACAGACAGAACAGAAATAATATGTAGCCGACTGCGGACCGCAATATCCCATGATTTTCATCGAAAGGGCGAGATGAAACCAGTTACTCTCTTTATCACTCTTACGTCCAAATATAATTAAGCATCTCATCTTAATTTTGCTTGATGCGTGGGTTAACGCACTGTATACAAATACATAGGAAACAAAAATAAGTCGCAACATAATATATTGAAAAATTAAACCGGTAACTAACAGTTTCAATTGTCGTCTATGTCTATGTCGTCTATGTGTAAAAAGTATTGTGTGGATCCAAAAAAACAAAGTATAATTTTAAGAAGGGAGAAAATTAAACTCTAATGGTAAGATTAGGGAGATAGTGAGGGATGAAGATGTATATGGTGATGTCATTACATCGTGTTTTTGATTGTAGTACCTGTATAGTAATTTCTCTCTATGACATACTAAAAATTAATTAATTAATTAAAATGTTGGTACGTTGTGTAATACTCATAATTATTCCGATATATCTGGTGCAGATAAGAAGAAATAACATATCACTGGTAAGTGTATACAAAGATATATCCGTATTTTAGAGAATTAGGTTTTTTCTGATTAAAATTAATTTCTACTTTACCTATTTTTAATATGTAATTGAAGGACTTAAATATTAATAAATCCATTACTGTTCCTATCCCCCAGTGTTAGTTTGAAATAAACTCCTCCTTGTGGTGCCATATAGTTAGTACGACGCTAAACCCATAATACAAAAAATTCTTCAGCGATAAACCTACCCCTTTTCGCCTCCTTGGGTAAGTCATAAAGTGGGATAAGTGGGAAAGAAGCATCAGAGTTACAGGGATAATAACCTCGCCTCAATGTCCTCATAATAATCTCTAAGAATGTGGGGAAAATCAAAGATATGATTGCAAATGTTTTTCCTGTGCTCGTCTAACTTAGTTTCTGATAAGTCACTGCAGCCTATAACGGCTTATTGTATTTTACTCTATGTTAATTCATTATTAAAATTTGCGCCTCTGAGTCTGTCAAATATTAGTTTTAATCTTAAAATGTGTTCTTGTAGCGAAGTACTTTAAATTATAAATTCCAAATATTATCCATATCTCAAAGTGGTCCGAAGTAGATTAAAGGGAAGTAAAAAGCTCAGTCTGTCGACCACATAAATTTATTAGGTTGCAAGCGCTTTCGACCTAAAAGGTCATCATCAGGCAAAAAAATTTTTGTAAGTGAGTAGGTACAATCACTATGTGTCCACAGAAAAATAAGTATGTTGAATTAAAATTTAAGTAAATTGTAAAATGTAAAAATTGTAAAAAAATTGTAAAAAATGGCACACACTGCCTCCCTCATTTGAGGTTGGATCCAGTTCTAGTTTTGAATTTCGCCTGCCTCCATCTGATGAAGGTGGTTTCGAATAAGATAAATTTTGAAGTGCCACATGTGTGCTTAAGGCACCATGTGGAAAGTGTTACTTTTTGGAAAAGTGAAATACAGCTACTCCCCCTATCCCCAGTACAAAAAGGGGTAGACGGAGTCCCGCTTAAGGGTGTACACGAGCGGGAAGTTATCAGCAAAAAATATTAAGGACTCCTTAGTCGAATACCATGACGACACTACTGTCGAATTATTTGAAGATTGGTTCCAAACTAAACTTTTGCCAAATATTCCACCCAACAGTGTTATCGTCATGGATAATGCCAGCTACCACAGTCGAAGACTAGATAAAGCATCTTGTTCAAACGTCATAAAAGCCATCATACAAGATTGCATGATAAACAATGATTTGTACTTTGAGGAAAAGTACACAAAAAAGCAGTTATTGGAAGTTTTAAGAAGCTATTCAGTACAAAAAAAATATTTGTGTGACACATTAGCTGAGAGCTTGGGACATACGATGCTTAGACTTCCTCCTTACCAATGTATGTTTAACCCAATTGAACATATATGGCGTCAGCTTAAGTCAGCAGTTCGAAGAAATAATACTTCTCCAACCTTAAGTTCGACTGTGGTAGCTCTTATTCAAACAGAAGTTGCAAAAATTCCTGATAGCAGCTGGACCAACTGTGTTTCTCATATAAAAAAGGTGGAAAAGACATATATTGATATAGAAAAGATACTAAGAGAAAGGTTCATTATTAATTTGGATGACGATAGTGAAAGTGAAACTGAACTTCGTGAGTAAATTTGTTTAAATAAATATAATATTAGAAAATGAAATGTAAAAATTCCACTATATTAATAAAAATACGTATCTGAGTAATTCAAAAATGACAATTGTTTCAGAAGCATAAACTTTTATCGTCAGGATTGACAATAGTGAAATTTTTACATTTCATTTTTTAATATTTTATTTATTATGAATAGATTCCACAATGTAAGGGTAGAAACAATCACTATGATCTAGCTACTTGTTCGTACTCTTCCATACTGATTTTTATTTTTATCAAGTTACCACTTTATACTTTTTAATAATTATATTTTATATGTTCAACCTAAATTCTGTACTTTTAAATACTTTATTTTCTACTTTTTAGTACTTCTAGTACCTACCTACTTTTTCGTACTTTATCATACCGATTTTTACTTTTACCATTTTACCACGTTATACTTTTTAATAATTACATTTTATATATTCAACCTACATTTTGTACTTTTAAATACTTTATTTTTTACTTTTTAGTACTTTTATCTACCTACTTTTTCGTACTTTGTCATACTGATTTTTGCTTTTACCAAGTTACCACGTTACTTTTTGTACACACTGTATAATTAAATAAACAATTCTGAATTATAGTGATTTTTCTTAATATTTATTTTACCCCAATTATTGACCTATAGAACAAAACTTAATAGCTAGAGTAGGTACGTCTCTGCGAAGAGACGGCCGCCTGCTGATAAGTAAATTACCTGCTGTTTTATGGTAGTCACTAGATATCTGGTTTAACTTTACTTAATTTTTTTTTGGAACTAACTATATAGATGACCAGGGTGAGGTACTATCTTGGATTATTCCTTGTGTCAACATTTTATTCATTTGGGTTCGAACTTCTTCGCGGTATCTATATGTCTTTGTAAATATGGAGTTTTCGTCTTTAGTTTTTATTTTGTGGGAAATTTGATTTGTGAAAGTTAAAGGAATGTCTTCATAATAAAATAGGTATATGTAGCAAAGGTTTTTGATTTGTATTTTTTTTTTGTTACACTGACTTATTCTGAGGTTTATTAAATTTTCGTTTAATGTGGATTATCATTGAATAAAAAAAGTTTTAGGACAATGTTTTGTTCTGAATCATACTTAATCCTAATATGGGTTACTGGAGTGATAAGAAGTATTTTTGATACTGACCGCGGCTTTCAATTGTTTTAGAAGGTCATCGTAGTCGTCATAAAATTTAAAAATATACCTGTCTGAAGTTTTGAATATTTGAAATGATAAGTGATACCATGTGCAGATTGTATATAGAAAGGTTCTTTTTCAAGGAAACGATGATAAAATGTGTAAGTCAATTTGGAATTGATAATGGTTTTTAATACTGCCGGTTTTGATTAGAAATTTTGGGTTTAATTATGCTATAGATATCCGGGGCAAATCATATATTGTAATGGATTTACGATTATCAACTCGGGTTTTTGAGTGGACTGGTTTTGGTAAAATGTTCGATATCAAAATACTGTTTGTAATAATTTTCATCAAGATTTTCGGGGTTTTCAAATGAATTGTCAGATGGAATTTCATGCAAGTTTTCATAACGATTTTCATACAAGTTTTCATTAGGATTTTCATGGGAATTTTCGTTAGAAATTTGGTAGAAATTTTCCTAGGAGTTTTGTAAGGATTTTTCGTAACGGTTTTCATTAAAATTTATATCAATATGATAGTTATTAGCTGTCTCTATTATTGTAACCATTATTTTTAGGACTTTTTCTACTATATTATAGAATTTATCTCGATGGTTTTTCGCAACTGTACGTCCAGTGGAAACGCCTAGAGGCTGGGGTTTAGGAAATCTGTTGTTCATTATTTAGAAAAGGAAATTTTTGATTTTGGTTTTTGGGGAAAAGCTATTTTGATTTTGTATGTGAACATCTTAAAATTGTAAATTTTACCCCAATAAAATGTGAGTTGCCAAATATAACTGTAATGTCTAGAGATTTAAGCTCTGATCAATCATATTTGTAGGATATTTGCAATGCAATATCAAGCGGCAATTTCTCATGAAATTTAGCACACCGTAATCCTGGGAAATTAGCGCACTTTAGACGGCTCAAAATGGCAAATTGTGTTCTTCGACTCTATGCTGGAATGGAAAAGCCAACATCAAGCCTTTACGGACATGGCCTAATTCATAATTAAAGTATATGCCACAATGTAGTTTAATATTAAACTAAATTTCAGTTGCACTAGTGGTAGTTTTCATGTATTTGAAACGATTGAACTGACACGGTATTTAAGAGATTATTTAAACAGTATTATGGATACGGTAATCCAAAAAAACGCGTATTGTATATACCCCGAAATCATTTTTTTGTGTATGCTAACAGACACTCGTGAATGGGTCCCAGGAACTATCTCTAAGAAGAATCTTAAAAGCTAGAGAAACCAGTCGAGAAACCGTTATTGAAGTAGGATACTTTGTGGTACCAAAAATTAATTTCAGTGCTACAGACTACTTTGTGTTAATTTACTAGAATGAGTGCGATGTGACACCGCCTCCTGTACATGGTAAGGGATTTTACTGATGATAATCTTAAGCCTTGGTTTCTTTGAACACTCCGTCGCGGTGAGCGGAAAGTCCGTCGACCGCTGAGGACAGCAATTTTCGCCCGAGGTGGTTTGTTAAAAAATATAGAAAATTATACT